TAGATATAGATCTACCATTAGGCCTTTAAAGATCTGTCTTTAGCTTTGTCCAAAAATGGGATGCCTTCACATGGACCAGATCCCACCAGTGGGAGCTAGTATCTATCCCACGTGTATAATAGTCTCAAGGGAGTTATTAGGGACTTTTATATGAGTCTGGTGTAATTCAGCAATTAAAGTCAGGGACAGCAGCCACTAACTTCCTTATGGTGGTTAAGACAATATTGGGTTTGTTTCCTAGAGTGCTGATGCAAAATTATATTTGATTATTTAAATTTAAATTCATTGTAATTAAATAAAATTAATCCAGTTCTTCAGTCATACTTGCCATATATCAAATGTTCAACAGACACAGATGAATAGCGCCTACTGCTTTGGACAGCACAGATACAGAACATTTTCATTATCTCAGAAAATTTTATTGGGCAGTGCAATCTCAGGGCTTATGTTCACAATTCTTATTTACAACATCTTTTCTGTCTAAACTTCTAGTTTCTGCTGACTGCTTGATTCCGACAGCCCCGCAATCTGCACCCTTTGGGAAAAATGACTTACTGTTTTCTAGATATTTGATAAAACTCAAGCTAGCCTGTTTTGACATTTACAATGTTAAATGTTCTCTTAGTTTACAGGTTACAAGGCTAACTAACAGAAGGAGTACCCATGCAGTGAGTCTTGGCAGGGGGAGTGTGGACAAAGAGAGAATCCCTCAGTTTGAGCTGTAAAATCCCCCAACAAAATGAAGGGTAGACAGAAGAAAATGAGTTTGGGGCACCTGGGCGGCTCAGTGGGTTGAGTGGCTGACTTTGGCTCAGGTGTTCAGGTCATGATCTTATGGTCGTTTGGGTTTGAACCCAGTGTTGGGCTCCATGCTGACAGCTGGGAGCCTGTAGCCTGCTTTGGATTCTGTCTCTCTCTCTTTCTCTCTCTCTCTTTGCCCCTCCCCTGTTCTCTCTCTCTCAAAACCAAATAAACATATAAATTTTTTTTTGAAAAGAAGAAAATAAAGCACAAAGAGAGACTATTGGGCCAAATTGTGTTCCATCAGTCAGGTGCCCCTGACCTTGCCCTCCCCACACCCACTACAGCTGAGCTGGCTTTACTAGAAGACAGAGCTCACAGCTTGTCTCCACTCTTTGCTTTCCTCAAGGAGGGATTTTCCCCCAAAGCAATTTTTTAAATGTTTTTTTCTTTTTGAGAAAGAGTGTGTGTGTGTGTGTGTGTGTGTGTGTGTGTGTGTGTGTGTGTGTGAGTGGCAGACGCTTAACCAACAGCCCTCTGCCCCCTCCAAACCAAGTTCTCTCTGGATCACTCCTGGCCTCTCTTCACCCCTTTATTCACTTGAATGAAAGGACTTTTTTTTTTTTTTAACTTGGTTTTGTTTTATTTTTATTTTGAAACAAACTCAGTTGTACAAAGTTTGCAAGTACTTTCATTTCCTGAATTATTGTTTTAAGATTTTTAATTTTAATTCCAGTATAGTTATCATATGGGGTTATATTAGTTTTAGGTGTATAATATAGTGATTCAACAGTTCTATATGTTACTCAGTATTTATCATGGTAAGTGTACTCTTTATTCCTTGTTATCTATTTTCTCCCTCCCCTCACCACCTCCCCTTTGGTAACCATCAGTTTATTCTCTATAGTTAAGAGTCTGTTTCTTGGTTTATATTTCTTTCTCTCCTTTGTCATCTGTTTTTTTTTTTCCCTTAAATTGCACATATGGGTGAAATCATATGGTATTTGTCTTTCTCTGGTTGACTTATTTCACTTATTCTCTGATTCCATCCATGTTGTTGCAATGGCAAGATTTCATTTTTTATGGGTGAATAACATACCATTGTGTGTGTGTATATATATAGCACAACTTCTTTATCCATTCATCTATCAATGGACACTTGGGTTGCTTCCATAATTTGGCTATTATAAATAATGCTGCATTAAACATAGGGGTGTGTATATCCCTTTGAATTAGTGTTTTTATCTTTTGGGGGTAAATATCCAGTAGAATGATTACTAGGTCATAGAGTAATTCTATTTTTAACTTTTTGAGGGAACTCCATATTGTTTCCCACAGTGGCTATGCCAGTTAGGATTCCCACAACAATGCATGAGGATTATTTTTTCTCCACATCCTCACCAGTACTTGTTGCTTCTTGTGTGTGTGTGTGTGTGTGTGTTTTATTTTAACCATTCTGACAGGTGTGAGGTGGTATCTCATCATGGTTTTGATTTGCATTTCCCTGATGATGAATGATGTTGAACATCTTTTCATGTATCTGTTGCACATCTGTATGTGTTCTTTGGAAAAATGTCTGTTCATATCTTTTGCCCATTTTTAAATTGGATTATTCATTTTGGGTGTTGAGTTGTTTCAGTTCTTTATATATATTAGACACTCAATCTTTATCAGATATGTCATTTACAAATATCTTATCCCATTCAGTAAGTTGCCTTTTAGTTTTGATGATAGTTTCCTTCACTGTGGTAGAAGCTTTTTATTTTGATGAAGTCCCAATAGTTTATTTCTGCTTTTATTTCCCTTGCCTCAAGAACTTATCTAGGAAAATGTTACTACAGCCAATGTTAGAGATAATGCTGCCTGTGCTCTCTTCTATGGTTTTTGTGGTTTAAAGTCAGCTCTTTAATCCATTTTGAGTTTATTTTTGTGTTTGATGTAAGAAAATGGTTTAGTTTCATTATTTTGTATGCAGCTGTCCAGTTTTCCAAATACAATTTATTGAAGAGACTATCTTTTTACCATTGTATATTCTTTTCTGCTTTGTCAAAGATTAAATGAACTTATAATTGTGGGTTTGTTACTGGGTTTTCTATTCTGTTTCATTGATTTATGTGTCTGTTTTTGTGACAGTGCCATATTGTTTTGATTACTATATCTTTGTAATATAACTTGAATTCTGGAATTGTGATTCTCCAGCTTTGCTTTTCTTTTTTAAGATTGCTTTGGGTATTCCATCTTTTGTGGATGCATACAAGTTTTAGGATTGCTTGTTCCAGTTCTGTGAAAAATGCTGTTGATATTTTGGTAGTTACCAGCAACTCCATTTACTGTAACTTCACTTGCACATAAGAGTCATGGTTAGGAAAGGACACAGGCACCCACTTGGCAGAGCTCCCAATGGCCAAACATGGGACAGTTTGAGCAAGAAAATAAATAATGATAATAGATCATGACCAACAGAACAAAATAAATATCACAAGTCCATACTGAGATAAAAATATAATTATATTATAATATAATATATTTTATATTTATTTTATATATATTATATATTTATACATATATTTATTTTATATATTTATACTTTCTATTTATTATAATATAATTTATAATATATGAATGAATAAAGAAATGGGGGAGAAGGGACAGCAATTCTTACAGCAGAACTCCAAGTTTTAAATCCAAGGGGAGTGATAGAGATGGAAAATGGCCATTTGGCACACATCACACTCATGGACCACTGAAGGATGCAAAGAGGAGAGGGTTGAAGTATGATATGAAATGGGATATTGGCAAACTCTTAGTATCTCCTTATAAGTTACTGGTTACAAAGGGAGAAACAGTAACTGCAGTGGAGGCAACTGGTGGACACCCCCTTGACCAAATGATCAAGGTCAATGTCACCAGTAATGGGACACAGCAATACTTTGTAGCCCCTGATATGATGCATTGAGAAGGGCACAAGATCATCTCTGTGGTATTTTGGCCCAAAATGTATAACCTCAACCTGATCATGAAAAAACATTAGACCCCAATGAGGGACATTTTACAGAAGAACTGGCCAATATTCAAAAGTCTCAAGGTCATGATAGATAAAGACTGAAGAACTCCCATATTAGAAGACATTAGGGAGGTATAAAAACTAAATTCAGTGCAGGACACTGGACAAGAAGATATTAGGGGGACAGTTGGCAAAATTTGAGTATGGTCTGTAGATTAGTTAATAGTATTGTACCCATATTTCTTTCCTGGTTTAGATCATAGTACTGTGCTATGTAAAATATTAACATTTGATTAACATTTGGGGAAATGGAATGCAGGTGATACAGGAAATATGTACTGTTTTTAGAACATTTTTCTAAATCTGACATTATTTAAAAATAAAAGAAATATATACAACGGTTATAGAGTCATTCTACCTCTGTTTTCTAGTTGTGTGACTTTGGGCAAGTCATTTCATTCCTGGCCTCAGTTTCCCCATCTATAAAATGGGAATAAATATAGTACCTACCTCAGAGGGCTGTAATGAGGATTAAAACTTACTACTTAGTAGCTGTGTGACTTTGGACAAATCGTGTCATTCCTGGCCTCAGTTTCTCCATCTATAAAATGGGAATAAATGTAGTACTTACTTCAGAGGGTTGTAATGAAGACTAAAAGTGTTAGTACATGTGCAATGCCTACAACAGTGCCTTCAGAGAGTAAGGGCTGTAATATTACACACAATTAGCATGGGAGGCCAGCAACATTTTCTATTGATCTTAGGGATATTCCTTTCTCCCCCCTTTCTCACTGTGCCTCTGAAACTTTCTGATGCAAGTCCTGGTGCTGATTCTTTCTCCAATCAGCCATTTTTCTCTAAAATCATTTCCCCTTTCACTAGCAGCCAGGTAATGCCAAATCCAACATCAAGATCTGTGTCTTAAGGATTATCCACTTTTGAAGGAATCAAAATAACTGCTCTCTGAGTTAAAATTGCTGCCAGAGATACCTGCATTGGAAAGAGCTCATATCACTGAAGAACCTTCTGGGGCCCCTTTCTCATATTCCCAACATAGGGTCCAGAGCTTTCTGGGCTTGTGAGACCAACAGCCCTGATTGGTTTGGGGGAGTGGTGGTGTAGATCTGCCTCACAATTACCTATCTGAGGCCTCACCCCATGTCACATTTTAGTATCTGTTTGGCCAATAAGACTGCAGCACACACACCAGCCTCATTCCCTGCTGGGGAATTACCTTTGAGGTCACAATCTGACTTGTGGATATTAATCTGGCCATAGCTGCTCACAAACCAGACAGCAAGGTCAAGAGGACCGGCACAGTAAGATGTGGAAGAGAATCGACCATCAGCCCAAGATCAAAGCAGGGGATGGACCTCAGGCAGGCCAGTTCAAGGAACTGGGTGCAGCTCGGGAAACTGCCATGCCACACTCTCTAGAGCTGTCAGAATTCCAGAGCTTCCCTGTGTTTGAGGACATTAGCCATCACATCAAAGAAGTGGGGGCCCAGCTGGTAAAGAAAGTCAATGCCGTCTTTCAGCTGGACATCACCAAAGATGGGAAGACCATTCTGCAGTGGACCATCGATCTGAAGAATGGTTCTGGGGACATGTATCCAGGACCCGCCAGGCTTCCAGCAGACACTATCTTTACAATCCCAGAACCTGTCTTTATGGAGTTGGTTTTGGGCAAAATGAACCCTCAGAAGGCTTTCCTTGCTGGCAAGTTCAAAGTGAGCGGCAAAGTTTTGCTTGGCCAGAAGCTGGAGAGGGTTTTCAAAGACTGGGCTAAATTTTAAGCATGTAAAATGCCAAGGAAATGATCAGAACTTCTCTCCGATTATAATGTTGAGCGGAAATCATGCTTGAACTGAAGATTAAAGCAAAAAGTATCCAATATTTTTACTCAAATTCTTCCTATTCAAGTTTGATTAATTTTCCTGCTGATGTGTTCATTTTCAGTGAGGTTCTAGAGCAGTAAAGAGTGTTGGAGTGCATCACCTAAAATCTTTGTCTTTTTCTTTTTTCAGACTCATGTATGCTATAATGTGCTAGGGTGGAAGCCACACAGACAAATGGGTGATTTTGACAGTTGGATTTAAATGCTTTCATGATTGGGTTCCTGAGAATTTTGTTTTTTTATGCTTTGGGGAAAGAAGTGCCAACCATCACTGAGTAGGTTTGCATGCCAGTTGGTAATTTGGTTCTTTGAGGAAACTTTAAGTTTGCAGAGTTCTGAGAGGGTGGGCTCCATAGCTGTGTGGGTAGAGCAAGGCCTTGGTATATCATGACTTTAGATGGATTTAATTCCAAGAGAATCCAAGGGTTTGGGAGATGTTCTAGGCTACTGGATCTTAAACTAGAGCACATATCACATCACTTGAAAGACTGGTGAAAGCCTGCTGGGGCCCGCCTCAGGGTTTCAATGCCATAGGCCTGGGCTGGGGAGAACGTGCATTTCTAACAGATTCTCAGATGATACTGATGGAGAACCCTTGTTCATGCTGCAGCTTTCAGTATTGACCAAAACCATTCTGTTCTAGATCATTGAGATGTTGCCATTGTTTGAAATGTTGCATTATTATTTAAAGGATCTCTTAGAATCTCCCCACTCCTGTGGGCCATTTCGGAAGTGTCAGGAGCTTGTACACTGAGCATTTTACAAAAGGTCATCCTGGCAGATTTTCCTTTCTAGAGGCCCTGTCCATCCACTGGGAGGACTGGAATGAGCCATCTGCATCCTGATGTGACCTCTATGGGTGAGTGTGTGTGATGTTTATTCCCATGTGATCTGTGTATACCTTTACCTGTATACCCCTATACTCTGAAACCCACATGGAAGGGTCCTTAAAACAGCCATGCTCAAATTATCAGCTATTAAATTATCCAGCTATTCCATTCTTAGGTCTTTTTCCAAGAGGAAAGAAAGCATGTGTGCAGGCACGAAAATGTGTACATGAGTGTTCACAGCAATGGAGTCTGCAAGAGTCCCAGACCCTGAATAAGCCAAAAGTCCATTAATAGGTGAATGGATAAACAAATTATGCTATGTTGTACCCTGGAATACTGGTCGGATATGCAACAACAACATGGATGAATGTCAGAGTATGCTGAGTAGAAGAAACCAGAGAAAACGAAGTATGGACTATATGGCTCTATTTATGTAACACATTAGAAATGAGAACTGTGAGGACAGAAGATCAGTGGTTGCCAAAAGATAGGGATGGGGAGCGGGGAGGTTGGGGAGGGGTGGTTATAAATGGCTATGAGGAAAACTTGGGGGTGACAGTTTCATTATCTTGTGGTGATGGTTTCACCGGTGTATATATAGGTAAAACATCAAATTGTATACTTTGTATACACATGGGCAGTTTCTTTTGTGTCAGTATAAACTCAGCAGCCCTGGAAAACCTGCTGTCCTTATGCAAAGCAAAGGCTTTATAAAGAGGATTTAAAGCTCTGCCTTTGTCTCAGCACAAGTCCTCTGACCTCATCACATGCCTTCCTTTCCAAGCCATTACTGATTTAGGTGGCTCTGTACAGGCCTTTCTAAGTTCCCCTTGTAAGAAATAGGCAGAGGGCTTGTTGCTAACAAAATCTCATTCTTTCGGTGGGAAACAAAGAGGCCCTTTGTTTAGTCCATGTTCAGCTCCGTGGTAAGGGACTGCTCAGGGTTTATGAGTGGGGATGTGGAACACTCCCTGGACTTTTTCCTCACCTGGTCATTAGGTAGGTGATGTGTGTGGTGATACTGCCAATACCCCTGCCTAGGGGAGCAGTGGGCATCTCCGAGGCTTCTGACTAATTTTGAGTACTGTTGTGAGCACTTAGCTTGCCTGGTCCAGGCACCTCCCTTAGAGCCATATCTATAAGTGTCAGGCATAGCCAGGTAGGGTTTTGGGATGCTGTGTTCAGGGATAGCTTGCCCAAGCTTGTTCCCTGGGTTGGTTCTGCTCACACTCTGAGTTGGTCCTAGCCTCTGGGGACTGGCATTGAGATGGGGATAGTTCGGAGATGAGGTAGGAGGGGAAGTAGGGTGAGAGGCAGGGAGGGGTTACAGAGGGTCCTGTCTAGGTTGCCATCTGACCAAAGGGAGGCCCATCACATAGACTGGCCAGTGACCTATGACCCCATTATGGCTTGGGACAAAATGTGACCCAAGCCAGTTAGATCTCTTTCTCAGGGATTTGGAAGTGGGAAGCAGAAAGGCTGAGCTACAGGTGAGCGGTGGGAATGGAATCCATCTGAAAGGCTGGGACGTGGGGTGTTGGGGGTGGACGAAGGAGCCTCTGTTGGGGGATGGGCAGCCACCATGGTACGAGGTGGAGTTGGAAGACCCAAAGCCTTGAATAAGAAGAGTGATCTAGTTCACACCCGGGAGAAGAATCCAGACCTTGGGAACACAACAGCAAACCCCTTTTCAAAAGGAATGAAATCGCAGTGTTGGGATGCCATATGAAATAGCTGGAGCAACTCAGATTTTAGAGTGAGAAATATGGTTTTGGGCTCTGGATTCCCACTTCACATCCACATAATCACAGGGAATTACTGAACAACTCTGCGCCTCAGCTGCCTCATCCAGAAATGAGGCCACTAGCTCTTATGACATCAGATTGTTGGGTAGCTCCTAGTAGGTCATGCTCAGTGCAGTCACTGGTCCAGGTGGGTTTTCCATGCTTATGTAAGTGAGTTCCATTCTTTCTGGATGAGGGGGAAGAGGGGACTTTCCCTGGCTCCCTCCTGCCTCCCAAGAAAGTCCATATTTGGGGACTTTCTTTCTACCTTTTCACCTACACTCAGTTGATGCCCAGAGGATCACATCTAGCTCAGAACACACATCTGTATGTTGCTTGGCCTGCACAAGTTTAGCTAGTACAGCGTTTTTAGAGATAGAATGAAGATATTTTATATAAAAATTAGATCTCTGGATTCTCTTGAAAAATTGGATTATTTGGTCACACCGAGCCTGAACTCCTGCTGGACAAGAGCTCAGGAAACAGAGGATGGGGTGAAACCTTTGGACAGGCCTGGGTCCCACCCTCCACACTGTCTCCTTCACTCCCAAGCTGAATTTTGGTGGCTGTCTGCCCTTGAGTCTGGGCTGTCATTTCCTCCAGCTGGGCCTGCTTTGCTGGGGCCCCTGTAGATGTTTGCCTTCATGACCCCATCTCCCCACAATACATGGTCTTACTCTTCCCCCTGACGGAAATACCTGGCATTAGTTTTCTATTGCTGTGTGACAGATTACCACAGTTTAGCAGCTTAAAACAGTGCCCATCCGTTATTTTACAGTCTCTGTGTGTCAGAAGTGTGTGTGGGCTCAGCTGGGTTCCCTGCTCTGGTGTCATCTCACAAGGGCTAAAGTCAAGGTGCTGGCCAGGCTGGGCTCTAATCTGGGGATGAGGGGGGAGAATCTACTCCAACTCCTCTGAGTGTGGCCTTATTCAGTTCCTTGTGGTTGTAGGACTGAGGCCCCTGTTTCCTTGCTGATTATCAGTCAAGCTGATAGGAGCTGTCAGTTCCTGAAGGTCACCCACAGTAATGGTCACATGGCTTCTCCATCTTCAAAACCAGAAGTGGTGTGGGAGGTCCTTCTTAGGCTTCAGGCCTCTCTGACCTCCGCTGCCTTCATTTTCTGCCTCCTTGTAAAGGACTTGAGGGATTGTGTTGGGCCTACGCAGATAATCCAGGATAATCTCCCTATTTTCATGTCAACTGATGAGTCACCTTAATTACATCTACAGACTCCCTTTTGCCATGTAAGGACTGAATGATTAAGCTCCCCTCCCCCAGGTTTATCTGAGCTACCTCTTTTCTACCATGTGTGGACATAGCAAGAAGATGTCACCTACAAGCCAGGAGAGTTCACCTGCCCCTGACCATTGTGGCACCTGATCTCAGACCTCCAGCCCCCAGACCTGGGGGAATAAATATCTGTTGCTTAAAACACCTAGTCCACAGTATTTTTGTTAAGGCAGCTTGAGCTGACAGGCAGTATATTCATGGGCATGTCATGTCATCACATCCACAGTCCTGGGGACTAGGATACAGAATCTTCCCGGGGCCCATATTCTGCTCATCTCCCGCTGCCCCTCTGAATCTACCATTTAAACCCCATCCTTCCTCCAGGAAGCTGCCCAACTCCATTATCAGCTTCCTGTTTCGCAGCCAGCCCACATTGTTTCCAGCCCATGTACTGACTGTGGGTGGCTGACCTCCTGGGTTGGTCAGCACAGTCTCATTTTGTACTGCTGGCTTGATGTTTAGTTTGTGGTGCTGCCTCCTTCAGAAGGGTCTTGGTGTGGACGATGAGTGATGTGGTTGACCTGCACACCTCCCTGTGCCGGCACACTGCTGAGGGCAGGGATCAGTCAGGGCCTGGTTTCGCTTTGTCTCATCCTTTCAATGCCTGGTACCCAGTGTACACTCCCTAAATGTTTGTTGAATGAATAAACAAACTCCTTTAAAAATTTTTTTTAAAAATATGCACATGGAAAAAGAATTCAAGTAGTGCATAAGAATATATGAAGAAAATTTGGTTCTTTATACTTTTCCTGACTCCCTTCTCCTAATTTTATGCCAAGAAGCACCCAGAGTTACCAGTTTCTTGTGTGTTCTCCCAGATAGGTACACATCTCCCTAAGGTACATGTTTCACCTTCCACTTTTCTGTTTTTACAAGAATGTTAGCTGACCACCGAGATTATTCTCCACCTTGCATTTTAAAAAATGTTTTATTTATTTTTGAAAGTGCAAGTGGAGGAGGGGCAGAGAGAATCGGGGACAGAGGATCTGAAGCTGGCTCTGTGCTGAAAGCCACGAGCCCTATGTTGGGGCTTGAACTCATGAACCATGAGATCATGACTGGAGCTGAAGTCAATGCTCGACCAACTGAGCCAGGTGCCTCCCTCCACCCTGTGTTTTAACTTATTCTAAAAGGTTACACATAGATCTCTTCTTCAAAGAGTGGCCTCCTGAAGGGTTAAAGGTTCCACTTGACTTACCCGA